CCAAGATTTAGATGTTGGAACTTGCATCTAATTAATAATCATATATATGCAGATTTAACCCCATTCGATTTAACTAAAATCCAAGTCTAATAAAAATATTGCTTTATGTATATATGTAGTATACTTATGTATACATATAGATGTTATGTATAATTATATAAAGTTTATAATTGACAAATTTAATATTTTATTTTTATATAAATTTATTTTATATATATAATTTAAAAATAATTAGATTTTTTAAACTTTTTTATTTTTTGGTCATTTTAAACACAATAAGATGGTTGTAGATTAAACCCAAATCCGATATAATAATCAAATGCATATGTTGATCTTGAGATTTCATAATTGAATGTTGATGTGGATGTGGATGCAATTGAATCTGATCTTAATCTGATTCATTCATAACCCTATTGGTCGCATTATGTATGGGCTTGGTGCATATATGAGTTAGGTCTAGCTTAGAAAAAAAATAATTGTTTGAGCCCAGAAATTTGTAGGTCTAGCTAGATTGGGCTAAGTTATAAAYGATCATCCCTAAGTATAAGGAGTCTTATGACCTTTCTAATTGGGCAATTGTTAGTTTTATTACTTTAATTTATTTTGATAATTTTTATATTAAAGGAAAATGGTTTTATTTTATTACTTATAATATTTTTTTTATTTTTATTATTAATTTTAACTATCCTATTAATATTAATTATTTTTAAATAGAATTCAAATGTATTTTAGTTTTTAATTTGTCACCTATTAATTTTTATTAATTTTTTAAGTTTTAATAATTGTTGTAAAAGCTTGCTAAAACTTAATATTTTTATTACTTTTACTTATAAGGTTTCAAATAATAATTTTTTGAATATAAAATAAATAAATGAAATTTGGATGAGAGTAAAATTCTCTCTTTGAAATATAATAGGCTAATAATGGAAGAGGCTTATAAAAATATGCTAAAATAAGTTAATGATGGAAAGTGTGGGACCTATGTCTTAGAACTCTCACACACACACACATTATTTTTATGTGATTTAACTATTTATGATATTTTTATTAACTAGATTTTAAATTATTATTTGTAATTTGTTTATGGGTTAGGTTAAACCATGCTAGGCTTGAAATGTGTGGGCCTGATGTGGACTCAAGCTCAGGCCGGACTGAAATGATCACCCCTACACAAAAAGGAAAAGGAGTAAATGAATTTTAAGCAATTTATTGGAGTAATTGAGAGAGAGAATTAGTGGAAAGGAGAGAGAGTTAATGAAATGATTAAAGAAGAGAGATAATCAAAGGAGTGAATGAGAAAGAAAAGAGAAAGTTAATGATGAATTAATGAGGAGAGATGAAAGTCTTATAGACATAAAGTTGGTTGGGAACATCTCCCGTATTTGTGTTGTTATTCATGGGAAGATGTTCCTAATGAGGGGTAATTTGGTCCCCCATGATATCACGACACGTAGCATTGCAGAACAACGGAATGACACCTTGGCACCATGTAAGTAAACCCTAGGAGCACCTCGTACACTTCACAACTGCATCGATGAGCTCGGTACCACCCTGGTAGGCTGAACTGCAAATAGCTAGGCAAGACCTTAGGTCGGTGTAAGAGCTTACCTGCTTCCACCGATCTGACCTGACTCTAGTTAGCAACTTGCCTGACGTGTCGAGCAACCTCCCCCTTAAGCGGACTATCACCTCCAAATTCCCTAGGATCACGATGCCACGTTGGAAGAGTTGGATATCACCCTGCCCGCTTCGGGCGGGATTGGATAAACATTACTTGCTTACACGAAGTCCACCTCCGAACCAAACAAGCCAAAGATCCCGTATGCGCGATTTAGCACTCAAGCTCTCTAGCTCTCTCTTACTTTCTAGTTCTCAAAAAACTCTAGTTCGCTAACTTACGCATCAAAGTGCCCACACTGGGTAAAGTAGCTCAAGTACTCTAATCTTTTCTCTCTTTCCTTACTGCTCGACCAAGAAACCTATCTAGTGCGACGTCCGAGCTATCCTCCAGTAGGGAGCTACCAAACCGCACACCATCAATTGGCATCGTCTGTAGGAAATGCTACACAAAAGTTGTACTTTCACACTTCCTTTCCAAGTACTTGTACTTTTGTACTTTCACAAAAGTTGAGGTGTCGATCTTGTGGTTTAGGACGTATGATGAAGAGGTTAACGAGGACGATCTATGGACCAACCTCGACCTAGTGGAAGAAGTCCGTGACTTAGCCTATATCCAAACTACGACATACCAACAACAAGAAGCTCAATATTATAACGCCCAAGTTAATAGGTCCAAACTGGGAAGGCCCCTATAGAGTTTTCAAGGTGATTGGTGAGGGTATGCACGGGCTTGAAACATTGGAGAGGAGGCAGGTACCCCGTGCGTGGAACGTTGACAACTTAAGGAGATATTATCTATGAAGAGTTTGGAAGTTTCGAGCTACATCCGCAAAAGACTACAAATTTCACTAAGTATGAAAAATGAGACCGCCCACCCTAGCAACTTGGTCTAGCTGATCTACACTATGAGAAGTTTGGCTAAGTTGTACATAAGGGGAAGCCAAACCGCTTTTAGCTCTAAGGCCCCCTATGTTGACCTCGGAATACGTCGGCAGTTCGATGACTCGACACCGTTCTGACTTAGYCGAAATCATAACTCTAGTCGCTTTGGCATCTAAGCAACTGGTGCACCTCGTTACCTCAACACCTTGGATTGCGTTACTAAGATTTAGCCTACTTTCTAAGGAAAAAGGATAAAGACACAAGATGTGCAAAAAGTTGGCTCCATTAAACAGAAGAAGAAAAGACTACATCGCTACTAAAAAAAAAAAATTAAAGGAAGCTAAGCTCGGAGGCTCGACATAAAATGTATATACATGAGGGTTGAAGAAAAGAGGCAAGAAAGTCAGACATTCCGAGGCTCGTATGCCCCCACGCCCTCCACACCAGCACCTTCCCCAATAGCATCAGATCTGTCGCCTGCACTGTCACCAACCACATCGACCTCATCCTCCTCCTCCTCGGTGTTAGGCTCTTAATCGACTTAACCCATCATATTGTTGGTGCACGCCGAGGACTTTAATTTGCTGAGGTTGAACTCTAAGCACTTTGAGGCTACTAGCATTTGGCACAATTTGAATCCCTAACGAAAAGCGTCAAACCCGAACTCCTCCCTTTCCTTTAAGAAGTCAGGCAAAGTCTTGAACTCTTTAACTACACGGACCTCGGTAGAATGGACGTCGCTAAGAAACTTCGGTTGTTGCTCAGTGAGCTCGACTTCTTTCTCCTGCAACTTTTGGTCCTTGAGCCCAAGCTCCTTGGTCAACTTCTCGACCTGTGCGACTCTGCTCCTCCACAAGCTCGTCCTTCAAGTCACCGATGAGACGGACATCCTGCTTAATTTGGGACCTGTACTCAGCCGCTTCCTCCTCAGCAACTTGGGCCCTGGCCAAATTTCCCTCAGCTTGCTCCAACAAGGAGTGTGCCAAAGTTTCGCCTACAAAAGAGAAAAAGGGAAATAAGTCCTGAATAGAGATTGGAACGAATACAACGAGAAGGTTGAGAGTCGAGACATACCACCATGAGGCAATGCATAAGCTTCCCACTGAGCTCACTGGGACGTGACTTGCGAAGTCTCGTGGCCTCTTCGAGAAAGACGACCCCCTTGCTCTTCACTAGGGCGGTCCGGAAGTCCATGATGGTGTGCCTCTCCTCGGGATTGGTCTTGGCATTCAAACCATCGGTCACCTCGATCTTAGGTGGTGAAAGGGGCTCCTTGAATGTACGGGCGACCTCGGGCTCTAGCAAGGTCCTTTTTGGCTGGTCTCCCTTGACTGGGTCAACTACTAGCACGACTTCAGTAACATTTCGCGTAGCAGTTTTTGGAGCAACGACTTGAGGTGCCTATTGGTGAGCCACCTTCCTCTTTTTCCTCTTCATGGCCTGGAACAACTCGGAAGTTGCCATGCTCGAAATGTTTCCTGCACGAGAAATCTAAGGGTGAGCTGAACTTAAAAAGAGAGAGAGAGAGAGAGTAAAGAAGAAAAAGAAGGGAAATGCCTAAGCCTTAGATGACGATCTATCCAGAGGACTTAGCCCCAACCTAGATCAACTTCTCCTCAGCTAAGTACTCACTCAGCATGATCGAAGCCGACGTGGTGACAAAAGGAGATGATGCTAACCAGGGTCCTAATAGAGTTGGGATAAAGCTGATCTAAGCTAATGTTATAATAGTTCAACACCTCAGGAATAAGTGGATGAAGGGGGAACCGAAGACCCGCTTTCAGGGCTTCCTCGAAGATAGCAACCTCATCTTCCTCGTGTTTCCACGGGTACTGCCCAAGGGGAAGGGTATATTCGAACTAATTCGGAATCCTATATTGAGCAGCGAGCTCGTAGATGTTCTCGGTAGAGAGCTCGGTGGAACCAAACTTGTATGGTGCTTTAACCCTATGGGAAGATGAGGCCCTCTTGTGAGAACCTCATTGGTCTTAAGCAAGGTCCCTTCCTCGGCCTAGTAGGACGGACCCCTCTCTTCCCCAAACTCACTATCAAGACATTATGAACAAAACAAAACTAAGGGAAATGACTCACCTAGGACAAATAAACCAACCTCGCCAACAATGCCGAGCTTYGCGATCTCACTAGAACTCCAAAGATAAAGATGAGAGAAATGGACTGTGATGTTGGTGTGAGACGCGCTCTGTAAGTAAGAAGTTCAGGTTAGGGCAAAGCCCATTCGAGCAGCTTTTACTGCCTTGCATTGAGAATATCTTCGTACTGATGTGCTTTATTTCATGTAAAGATATTCCCAACGTATGATTGGGAAAGGCTGTCTATGGAAGCCTATCTCTTGAGTAACAGATACCAATTGATTGTTATCATTCATGGGATGATGCACTGTGAGTATGGTGTGAGGAGCAGATCCGATCTCAAACTGACATTTTTTTTTTTGTTTTGGTAGAAATATTAAGTATTAACATAGAACCGTTTTTATCTCATGAAAAAGTGTGTTTGTGAACTGGGATCGAGGAGGGCAGGGCCTAGGGCGAAGCAGTGATGGTGATGGTGATGGAACGAACCTTCAGACCAAAATCAAATCCCTACTTCCTCGTCGGGCTGTAGCATCTTATTTATTGCAGTAGTAAGAAAGAAAGAGAAAGAAAGAAAAGACCCCACGYTCTCTGTCATTCTCTCTCTTCCTTTACCAATCTCTTTTTCTCTCTCTTTGCCAAAGTAGCTTGTAGTGTTTCGAGTAGACATGGCAACAGAGGTGGAGGTGGCGGTGGTGGTGATGGTGGTGGTGGCGATAATGGGAATGGGAGGAAGAGGTGGAGTGGAAGGGGCGAACTGGTGCGTGGCGAGGAGCAACGCGAGTTCCGACGTGCTGCAGACGGCGTTGGACTATGCTTGCGGAGCTGGAGCAGACTGTACGCCCATACAGTCTTCTGGGCTTTGTTATCTCCCCAACACAATTCAAGCTCACGCCTCTTACGCCTTCAATAGTTACTACCAGCACAAAGCCATGGCTCCTGGGTCTTGTGACTTCGCTGGCACTGCCACCGTTGCCATGACCGACCCCAGTCAGTTCTCTCTCTCTCTCTCTCTCTCTCTCTCTCTCTCTCTCGGTTTTAGCTCTGGACTAAAATGAATAATTGTTTTCTTTTGATGCATTGTAGGCTACGGATCTTGTGTGTACCCATCTTCAACAAGGTATGCACTTATTTGTTTTAAATATTAGATGAAAACATCTTTTGTTTGATTACCAGAAAAAAAAAAAGCTTCTGCTTCTTTTTCAGCTTCTTTCTTAGCTATGTTCATGGGTTTTTGGTTCCGTCATCAATTTATTTGAGCAATAAATTCTTGTTCTTGTTGGGTGGTTGTCCTGGTTTTTTCTTTCAAGCTCTTCATTTCTGTTTTTTTTTTTCCTCCTTACAATTGGTCTCTTCTTCTCTCGGTCAGTCCCAGTCTGGCTCAGTCTCTGTACCATGTGAACAGAAGAGAAGAAAAAGAAAAAGAAAATGATGGTTCTTGTTTCTGCTGTTGCTTTCTTTTCTTTTTTCTTGAAAAGAAATGCAACCAGTACCGCAAGATGGATTTTCTATTACACCCACATTCACAGAAACGATTATTAAAATTCATGTTTATATTCCCCTTTTTTCTAAAGAAACTGGCCTTCTGAAGTATGCTGTCTGAGTAAGCTATCCTAGTGTCACTAATGACGACACCCAGAAGTTTTGAGTGGTTATCTAATACCCATGTTAACAAAAATGCCGTTTTCATCTAAATTTGCAATAGATTTGCTTGTTTAGAGCCCAAAAGATGCACTGAGAGTTATTGCATCCAGATACAATATTCATTTTCAAATGGTTGATCACTAATGGAACAACGCCAATTTGCAGCACTGCCGGTGCCGGAGGGACGTCGCCGCTCACATCCACAACGACCACGCCCACTGGAAACACCCCATACACACCGGCGACCACACCGGCGACACCAGGAACAAATACGCCAATTTATGGTGGAGTTGGAGGGCTAACTCCGGGCTTAGGACCGGCGATACCTAGCACAGACGACTCCAAAGCTTCTTCTATTCGCTCATTTATAACCACCACCTTCTTGCCATTCTCTTTGCTTCTTTTATTCTTCCTCTAATCCATATAGTCTCTGGCCAAAGACAACAAGAGGCTTAAGTTTTGTTAGAGTTGGGCCTTGTATGTTTAGTGTTATGTATGTCCTCTCAAATGGGTTTTACAAGGAATAGCTCTTTCATCTCTTTTTCTTTCATTATATTTATATATATCTTATTCTCTCTCTCTCTCTACATTTTAAGAATTGTCCTTTGTTGAGTTGAGTTGTAAAAACTGGGATGTGATTTGGATTGATTTAAACTGAGGACTGAGGACTGAGGACTGACCGCATATGGATTAGGGGTCCGATCAACTTAACTTTGTTATTTATCAAAAACAAAAAGAAAAAATATGTTTGAAACTTTGAATTCTTTTGATCTTATTCTATTTTGGAGATGGGTGTCTGGGGTGTGTTGAGCATCACAGGAAAAGGGTCATCCATATGGGTCCCACTTTGGTGATATACTTGGAGAAAAGTGTGTTTGGATTGATGATCTCCAAAAAAAGAGTACCTGGTTTAATGTTGTTGACAGGACATCTAATTTAAATCCTCTGTACTTTGGAGAAAGAAACCAGTCTTAAGATTGATTATCATAATTTGACGAGTGAGCTGCCATGTTAAAGTGAATCCCTTTGGCTACTTCTGTCTAAGCTGCCTTTTTTTTTTCTCATTTTTTGCTTGAGATGTAAGCTACCTTGAAGATAAAGTGGTCAGTGTTCTCTTTGCTGGACCATGAGCTTGGCAAACCTACTGAAATGTTCTGTAAGGGTTTTAGTGGACCCTCATTTGTGTCTGTCACCTGTGAGGGTCTGATAAATCATGTGGTTACAATTATCTAACGCCATGATTGGCTGGTATAAGCCAAGGACAATGGATTCTCTGTAAAAGCACCAGGAAATTAATAGTATCATTCGCATTCTGGCTGAACAAGTGGTTTAAAGCATTACTCTATTAACATGGTGTTGGTAATGTAAATTCGGGAAATGGGCTAACTGGTTTGGGTTCTTATTAATCAATCTATTGAACTTAGAATTCTAGGTTTCATGGCAGAAGTGGGTTGTCAGAACTCAGAAGAGGATCTAATCTCTTTAGTTTCCTCTTTTGGGTAGCTAGAAACAATGTTGTCGATGCCTGTTTTTATTATTATTTTTCATTTTTTTTTTGGGTGGGGCTGCGTGAGATGAACCTGAGGGAAAATTTACAAAATCCACCATTCCAGGGAGAAAATCCAACCAAGCAAAATGATACACGTTTGAGACTCAAGGAGCTGATTCAAAGAACTCAGAGTCTTAGTCTCAAACCAAAACATGTCACCTCTGAGGTGCTAAAATAGATTTTCAAATTTCTTCTAAACTTTTGGAAATCGACTTATTCACCTCCATTGTTTAGAAATTGCTTAAAATATTCTTCTGACAATTCCCTTACCATTAGTGCCCATTAAGAAAGATGGAAAAAGATTATTTCACTCATAATTCTTTAAATTTTCAAAATGAAACATTTGAATAATAAAAACGAAAAATAAATACCATGTGAAACCTTATCGAAAACTTGAGACTTTTTCTTACAAGGTAACTAATACAATACTCCTTGGGCTTGATCTGAGAAGGTGGAGGCTAGACCTATTCATGGGCTGGGCCGGACTTTTACTCGTAATTAATTGAAACTTGTTAGGCTCGAGCCCAAGCCCGACCCGACCAATGGGCCTACAACTTGGGTCCGAGCTCGGCCCTGATAAAAAGCCCGAAGCTCGAGGACTCACTGTCGGAGCTGAGTTTGCGGTGACTGTGAGCTGCGACCTACGATTTTAATAGTGATCAGTTCACGTCTGAGCAAGAGAGAGAGAGAGAGAGAGAGAGAGAGAGAGCTCACCACCGCCGCTAGACCTGTTCACGGGCCGGCTTGACCCTCGGACAGGCTTGAACAGGCTTTTTGGCCTGCGGGCTTAACCTCGGGCCAAAAAGCCCGGCCCACATAAAATTCGAGTCGGGCTCGGGCTTTGCCAAAATAGCCCGACCCGAGCCCGGCCCAGCCCGACCTATAGTTAAACCTAAGTAAACCCGACCTGACCTATAGTTAAACCTAAGTAAAAACCCTATGTGATGTCTATTTGAATAAATTTTTTGATTTGAGAAGGTCATTGATTCACTTATAGGCTCATTGTTCATTTAAATAAGGGAAAAAACATCTAAATTAAAATAAAAAATGTCCATTTGAATAGGGAAAATTTTGAATTTCTTTTATTAGGTCGGGCTTCGGGCTCGGGCTCGGGCCCAAGTTATAGGCCCATTGGTCAGGCCGGGCTCGGGCTCAGGCCTAACAGTTTTCTATTAGTAAAGAGTTAAAGCCCGGCCCGAGCCCGGCCCGGCCCGGCCCATGAATAGGTCTAGCCACCGCCGGTGCCTATATTCGCCGCCTCACCGTCGCTGGTGTTTGAGATTTGAAAGAGAAGTGAGATTTGAGAAGAGGAATGAGATAAAGAGAGAGAAAAAGAGGACTCACCGTCGGAGTTGTTGCGCCGATGAACGTTCGCCGCTTCGCCGGTTGTGTGGTTGCCTGAGAGTGTGAGGACTGAGAACTGTGGAGGATGTGGAGAAGAAAGGTTCGGCTGGAAAAAGAGGTGAAAGAGCCAAAGAGGTGAAAGAAAGAAGGGTATTCGACTAGGGTTTTTAGCTTTAATTATAGATCGGGTCGGGCCGGGCCGGACTCGGGCCAGGCTATTTCGGAAAATCCCGAGCCTGGCTCAAATTTATTGTTGTGGGCCAGGCTTTTTGGTCCGAGGTTAAGCCCACGGGTCCATTTGCGTGTTCAAGCCTGTCCGGGGGCCGGGCCAGCCCGTTGGGCCACCCGGCCCATGAACAGGTCTAGTGGAGGCTTAAATGATACGCCGCCATTAATTAAATAATAAATTATGGCCGACCACTCTAACCATTAAATAAAAGTGATTTTGATTAAGTGATGTTAACCATTTGATTTTACACCAATAGCCCCTCCCTTGTTTGTTTCTTCAATTTTGGGTCCTAATATCAACCCTTCATGTGGGTATTACATCTCAGAAATCTGAATCACTCTTCTGATAGATGACACACAAGACGAATTTCATAAGCTCATAATTCTAATTATAGCGAAATCTCAACTTTTTTACAGGAAAAAAAAAAAAAAAAACTCAACTAAGTTATTGTTTATATATATGAACTCTAGTTCTAGAGGATAGAGATTAGATGGATCTGAATCAAATCAGTAAGTGAGAACAAAGATAAGAGAGGAGGGTAGCTGGATAAGGAGGTTGAAGAGAGTACGAGTCATAGCATTTGATTTGGCAGTTGCAACTTGGCATTTAAATCTATGCCATGAACTTGAAGGGCCTGTCTGATAAAAGTTCTCATCCATTCCAGCAGCCCACTGCTACAGTATGTTCAAGTGTTTACAGAGAATATTGCTGCGAAAACTGAAAAGCTAGTTTTTGTTCTGATTTAATTACATGTTTCATATTTGAGTTCTAGTATTTTTTTTTATTATTATGTTCATAATCCCTTACCTTGTAGCCACAACTGAATTCACCTTCATAATCCTTTACCTTGCAAAGACCTTTGAAGTAGTGAATAGGAGGGATAATTTCCCACCAAAAATCTAGATTTTGAAGTTGCCATCTTAGCTCATTTAGTTCCATGTAAACCTGTGTTCTTGACATTCAATTGTTGAAGGCTGTGGTCTTATCCAAAAGGTGGATGTTGAATTTCATTTTGAAAATTTGGAGAATAATCAAAGACAAAATCAATCACAAATGTCATGATTTAGTCAATTGTCAAAAAACATAGAAATACTTCAAGATTATCTAAACAGTAAGTCAATTTCCTAAAACTTAGAAATACTTTAAAAGATTTTGCCCTAATTGTACCAACCACAATTCTATACGGTTTAGTTATAAGCTGTAGTTGAGGACTAAACAACCCAATACAAACTGTGTAAGACCAAGTACTCTTAAACATCTTTATTAAAGATTTAGAATATAAATTATCAATTTGTCATGATGTTATCCCCAGACCCCAGATAGAGGTCTTCCTTTGGCTACAGCTCTTTCTCTGTATAACGCTTAAACAGCATCAGTGGAACCCGTTTCACTTCTGACCACCTCTACAAATTTAAGTGATTTCTAGAAATGTTAACCTGAGAACCTATTGGTTTTTTTTCTCCTTTCCTTTCCTTCATTTAGGCATAAATACAAAGAAAAAAAAGAAATATCTAGATCGATGAGACGATGACTAAGATCTCTATGATATGTACAGGTTACCATCTAAATACTGTGCCTTTTATTTTTTCAGCATCATTTCCCAATCAGATGGAGTTGGCTACATGGATCCTGTTTCGTCATTCTGTTCTGAGGCAGCTTCACATTTCCACTCGGTCAATCACATTGTCTCCATCTTCTGAGCCAATTTCACCACGAGAGATGAGATTCATGAAACTCTTTGTGGCCTGGCCAACAGCACGTGATGTCTTCTTTGCAGCTCCGGCAACAACCGGTTGCAATGAAATTATAGGCAAACTTGCCCTCTCCTGTATCATTGCTGTACATAACCATATACAGTCAGTTCTAAAACAAAAGAAGTTAAACAGGCAACGAAGGGAGCTAGCTACTATGAGCTTCAACATACAGATGGTTTGTTCACGAACAATGGCACCAATTTGTCGAACTCCAGCTTCAGCTGCTTGGACTGCTTGAGCAGATTTGTTAACTCCATCAGCTATCTCTTGGCTGAATACCAGATGAATTAGACCATATTAGAAGCAAGACTATATCTATCAAAGAAGAAGAAGAAGCAATACTACAATCTTTAAGATGGGGGCACTGGCGGTTGCTTGGATAGTCTGCCTCCTACTTCAAAGTGAGATTATGTGCCCATTTGGGAGGGCTGAGCTGGAGATTCAGCTAAGTTGGTTCAGCTGCTTTGAGGCACTCCAAAGAGGCTGAAACTAACCAACAGCCAATTTGGGCTCTCTGGATTTTTCAGTAAACATAGTTTAAAGGCCATCTATGTAGCACCCACCTCAGAAAGCCAGAAGCTTCTGCTTTAGCCTCCCAAATGAGCACTAAATGTTAACAGCCTCGCAGAATATACTAGTTTTGTCACCACCATTCAAGGGAGCAGCTACACGTGCACAAATCTTTTTTACCATGAACACACAGGCTGAAGATGCAAGGGATCAATTGTAATTAGGATAAACAAATGTACAAAGGCAGAGGAAGTCAATGCAGTTTATATTGACTTGGAACATCTCTCACTTGATAATCTCTCTAGACAATGAAAATATATTATTACTGCTTGACTGACTATGATATGAAATTAACACCAATTTTGACATGCATGCAACATTTTGGCCTCGTGGATTGGGCCAGCTGGGTGGTATTGCTCTACTTTACGTATCATGTTAGACTTCCACATTTGATTATTACCGGATAGGCAAACTAGAGATGGGGGAATTTAAGACCTACTCAGTCTAAATGAAGCTTCCATGTCTTGTGCCTCAACCTACCAAACCCATCCTTGACAATGGTGAACAGAAAAGAAGAAAAACGGTTGCCTAACCTTAAACTCTTCATGGCCTTAAGCAACCTTTAGGAAAGCCATAAATGATAATGAAGGGATGAGCAGATGATATATCATGTATCATCCCTGAACCTGTTTCCTCTGCCTGGGATTTTTTCACTTTTTTACCTAAAGCTGTCTACTCTAGTTAGTAATTTGTCCCTTAACATCACCTCTTTTTAAATTGTTCCTCTGGGACACCAGGCGCCAATTGATCAATAACCATAAGTTTTGTCATGTGTGGTGAAACTGTCCACTGGCAGAATTATACAGTCTTTGCATAATATTCTGTCCTAAGGAAGACGATATCTAGTTTTAGTTTTACTAACCAAGCAGCCACAAGGAGTAACAAGATGAATAAAAAAGAAGAAAGAAGTCTCTAACTACAATCAAATAAATGTATTGAACCTTCGATGCCAAGGCAAATGGAGAGATGAGTTATCTTAGGTCTTTCCCCAGGGAAGAAAAAGGATATATATATATATATATATAAATGAAAAATTGAAAATGTCCAGACAAGCATGACAAGCAAATCTACATGTAATGTGAGATACCACTTGAATATGTTAAGATAGAAGTTTGCATAAGATTATATTTATAATACAATAATAAGAATCAAAAGACCATAACTCATAATCATAAACATCAGAAATAAAAATTAATAAATACTGAGCTAGTAAGATTGCTAACAAAATGGAACAGTCAATTAAAGCATAAAAATACGTGAAAAAGTATCTTATCATAATTTTGAAGATGCAACCTATGATGCCTGGATACTGCATGGATGCTTCTAGGTGTACTATAATAGCATTAATACTTTTTAAGTATGTAATAGTATGTTTTAACATATTGTACTATAAAACTATCTGCACATGTTGGAAATTTAATTAGATTGGGCAAGATATGATCTTGAGAAACGACATTTACTTCAAACTAGGAATAAATGCATGATAACAGTGTATTACATGGGATACCCATAACCATATCTGTGCCCAAGATTTTAAGAAATGCAGAGTCATGTCCTTATTTCCCTATCTGTATCTGGGCATTGTAGGACATAACTCAAGTCATAATTTTGAAGATGCAACTCAAGCCAAATCCCTCCAGTATTCTGGTAGTAGGGACACAAGTAACCAAGCTTTTCAGCTAGCTTAATTTGAATGTGCAGTTTGTTGCCCAGTGTTCTATGTTCATCTAGTCCTCCTGACTCAACTAGCGCTTAACCTCTTAATTGTTTTTGGTTATTTTGGCCATTTTGAAGTATGCAGGTAATACAAATTAGTTTGTAACAAGTGTTGTTTGAGAGCTACTTATGCATATTTGATACAATGGAAGGCAGAATATTGCATATGATGTTAACTTGAGATCCTGTTGGTAAGTGGTAACAATGAAAAGAAAGATATCAAGAAAAAAAACATGAAACCAACAAAAAGAGGAATGCATGAGAAGGAACAATTTGCCTATAATCACATTGAAATTAGTTGTCTGACTTCCCCTTCAAAAAACCAGATGTACACCATCTAATACATGATCCCAGTTATTTACAGATCTAGCACACTGACATGGTTATGCAACTGAACAAATAAACTCCCCTTCTGGTGAACAGGATATTTGGAAACAAAAGAATAAAAATAAATATTTAGTTCATTACCTCAAATCACTCAGTTCTAGAGTAAGATCACTAATTTCCATGCCTGAAAGCCTGATTGCAGCCATCGTACTTGGAAGCTCTTCACGGGCTGTATCTGCCAATTTTGAAAGTGATGTTGCAGTTCTTCTCATTGCCTAATAAATAAAAAGAAAAAACAGTTAGAACTGTAATCCTTATACTTGAAGAAATAGAGATCATTTGGTGTTATCTCCATATAACCAAAACATCATGAGCCTTAAAATTGGATATGCATGGGATCTATTAAGAGATAAGGTATCAAAATAATGTTTTCAGATCATMAGTTTAAAAGTCTGTGTTTTCTTTCAATGCATACATGCACGAAGGCCATAAATAGTTGCGACAAGGTTCTGTTGATCAAAGATTCAAAATGCATGTAACCGGGGGGGGGG